GGGGGGGCGGGGCCCGGCCCCCAGCCACTGAGCACAGGGTCCCCCCAGGAGCACCGGGCATCTCTGCGGCTGCTGCTCCTCAAGTGCTTTGGCGCCATGTGCGGCCTGGACGCGGCCATCATCTCCACGCTCGTGTCGTCCGTGCTGCCGGTGGAGCTGGCCCGGGACATGCAGACGGACACCCAGGGTGAGGCTGGGGTGGGAGCGTCCCCACACCTGCAGGGTTGTCCTGCCGTCGTGGAGGCTGACAGCCTGCCTGCCTTCCCTGCCTGCAGACCACCAGAAACTCTGTTACTCCGCCCTCATCCTGGCCATGGTCTTCTCTATGGGGGAGGCGGTGCCCTATGCACACTATGGTGAGGACGCAGATTGTGGGGCCTGGGGACCTGCCCACCCCAGCCTGCCATGGGGAGGGTGTCCCTGGGGCTCCCGGAAAGCCAAGGAGGCTGGGTGGGCCGCGCAGGGTGCGACAGGGCCGCAGCGTTCTGTGCACCCCTGCCCCAGAGCACCTGGGCACGCCATTTGCCCAGTTCATGCTGAGTGTTCGTGGGGGACGGGCTGCCCATGGACACCACGGAGCAGCTGCCGGACCTCTGTGTGAACCTGCTGCTGGCTCTCAACCTGCACCTGCCAGGTGGGCGCGGGCCGCTGTGGCAGCTGGCCACGCAGGGGGCTGCCCCGGTCAGCACATGCCCCGCCCATGCCCACATCCATGTCCTTCCTTAGCCCCCGACCAGAATGTCATCATGGCTGCCCTGAGCAAACACGCCAACGTCAAGATCTTCTCTGAGAAGCTGCTGTTGCTCCTCAACAGAGGGGGTGAGGGCCCCGCGGTCTGCACAGCACCCCTCAGACGCCCTGGGGTGACCCGGGTCCCACAGGGACCACCCTGACCCGTGACCCCTGCTTCCTAGATGACCCTGTGCGCATCTTCAAGCACGACCCCCAGCCGCCACACTCCATCCTCAAGTTCCTGCAGGACGTGTTCGGCAGCCCCGCCACGGCCGCCATCTTCTACCACACGGACATGATGGCGCTCATCGACATCACTGTGCGCCACATCGCCGACCTGTCGCCCGGAGACAAGGTGCCGCTGGACGCAGCTGTGGCCAGATGGGCACGGGGTGGGACATGCAGCAGGGTGTGGCTTGGGTGGCGCCGAAGGACTTAGGAACCATGACCGGTGCTGGGACTGGAGGAGCCCCTGAGACGATCTGGAGGAGGGTGTCGGGAAGGCTGCAGTGTGGGGGCGGAGGGGCCGTAGTGCCGCGTGGCCCTCAGGCTGGCCACCTCGATGGCCTGTGCACGGCACTCCCTCGTCTCCTGCTCGGATACAGGCACCTCAGCCTGACCTCAGCTGCCGTTGGCAGGGTGGTGCTGCCTCAAGGGGATTTCGGTGTCGACTTCTCTAACCGGAGGTGAAGAGATGAGGGCAGATAGCCTGAGTGCCGGGGCTGGACGGGGACAGGGACAGGGACAGTGCCAGCCAGCAGTATGGAGTTGGGCGGAGTGGATTCAGGACATGTGGAAGGTAGGATGGCCGGGGTCACAGTCAGACACGGGCATGTGGGAGAGAAGACTCAAAGAATACTCCTTGGTTTCTGGCCTGTGCTTTTGGGTGGACAGCAGGGCTCCTGTTAAGATTAAAATATGGAAGGCCAGCAGGTGGCACAGTAGTTAAGTCTCTGGACTCCCACACAGCCAATTGTGGTTTGAGCCCTAGACCTGCTGGCTTGAAAATCACCCCAGGCGCTTGTATGTATGTGCCCCAAATCCCAGGAGGACAGAAAAGAAGGGCCTGCATTCTCCTCCTGGGATTTTGGGCACTGCAACATGGCCAACCCCCCCCCCCGGGAGGTGAGTTCTCACCCTGTAGCAGAAACCTAAAAAAGAAGATGAGCCTCCAGCTTGGGCAGGTGGAAGGACCATGAGTATCTGATGGCAGACGTGGGTCTGCGGTCAGAGAGACGCAGGAGATGATGAGCAACCGTTGCCGTTTGAAACGGTATGAATAAGATCTTCGGGGGCCAGAGAATAGGAGGAGGAGCCAAGGGCCTCCGACCAACCAGCTCGGCCCTGGGCCCAGCAGTAGTGGAATGGCAGAACTTCCCAGGGCATGTTCTGGGACCGTCTGGCTGGACTGGTTCATTTACTCTCTTATTCTGCAACCACTGAAGACCAGGCCGCGTCAGGCGTGCAGGTGCAGGGGATGAAGCCTTGACGCTGCAGTGGTAGGAGCTGGTCTCAGGCTCTGGGTCCCCGGAGCAGTGGACTCATCTGGGGGTGGTCACAGGACAGCCCCAGGGTCCTGAGCAGTGCTGTTCTTCCCACAGCTGCGCATGGAGTACCTCTCCCTGATGCATGCTGTGGTCCGCTCCACACCCTACCTGCAGCACCGCCACCGGCTGCCCGACCTACAGGCCACACTGCGCCGCATCCTGAGCGAGGAGGAGGCATCGCCCCAGTGCCAGATGGACCGTATGATTGTCCAGGAAATGTGCAGGGAGTTCCCAGTGCTGGGCGAGGCCCCTAGTTAGCACCACCCCATCCTCCCTCCCCTGCAGCCCTGTCAAGGTGCAGGGGGCTTGGGGCGTGGCCCTAAGAACGTTTTGCACTGACAGTGAGAGAGCGAGGTGGTAAAAGGGACCCAAGCAGGGCCCCCAACCTGAAGCAGAGCCAGCGCAGGGGCCCAGCATAGGATTAGGGACCACGATTTGGGGCTGGGGGCCCGTGTAAGCTGAGGTCCCTCTGGCCCCGGTAGGCAGCCTCTTCAGCATGCCTCGCTCCACCCACGCCCACACGCTCACTCGGAGTCCTGCTGCTGCCACTGTGTCCTGGGAGCCAGGAGCACCCCCAGCAGTCCATCGTCCTCTGCCTTAGCTTTGCAGTGAGTGCTACTCTTGTGCTCTGCCCCCACCCCCAGAGGCCTTGGCCAAGTGCTGCTTTGAAAGCGGGTCTTGGAAACGGGCCATCAGTCCCGGAGTCTCAGAGAATGGGACGATGGCATCAAAAAAGCCAATGACAGGCTCTATTTTCTCTGAAAATGTAGGCTGAAAAGCCATGCGTATTTTCCTGTTGCTGCAGCTCACCTTTGGAAATAAATTGTGGGCATCTGGAAACAGGCTTCCCTGTATGATGCTGGGGGGGTGGGG